TACTGAAATACCTTTCCTTACAGAACAAAAATGACAGTGTCCTCATGGCCACAGGTAAAATAACCATAAACAGCAGGAATAATAATATAGTCATTGCAATTAGGAGATGGGGAGGAGGGCAAAGGAAATCACCCAAGCACCAGAGTGTCATGTTCTTCTGATCCTTCTATAAGCTGAGATCAAGGAGCTGTGTGCATGTTCCAGGCTGCAAAGAAGACATGACAGAGAGAGAGAGAGAGAGAGAGAGAGAGAGAGAGAGAGAGAGAGAGAGAGAATGTCACGCCTTCCTGCTTCCAGGCGAGCAAACAAGAGAACACAGGTGGCAGAAGGCCAGCGACCCACAGACACAGAAATACCGGCCTCCTCTGATGTAGAAACGTCTAGGAAGAACTCTCCAGCCATCTAGCCCCTCTCTAAGCATCAGTAGCACTGGAGGAATGTACAGCTAGGGCTGACTGGAGGTAACCATGGCAACTGCAAACCCCAAACCCAACTGAGTTACTGACTCGCTGGACTCAAACTTCCTGGCATATAAATTAAAGGCCTTGCAGAAATGTGCAACAAACAGTTCTACGGATAAATACTCTTTACTTCAGACTCTACTACCCAACAAACATACCCAAAGGAGGAGGAGGAGAGCAAGGAGGATGAGGATAGGAAAGGGAGAGGAAGAAGAAGAGGAGGGACAGAAAATCACCAATGTCAAGAGACAACACAAAAAGTAATCTAAAGAGCTCATTAAGATATTACCAAAGTGCATATTCCAAACGCAAGGACTCCGAGCAGCCATCCTCTGCCTATGCCAAAAAGCAGATGTATGGAGAAAATGGCCATGTGTGAGCCATGGATTCTTATTTCATATCCCTCAAGAACAGAGCAGAAGTGTGTCTGAGCCACATCAAATGTTTGAATAGCTTTCTGAACGCAATGACACATGTACACCGAAGACCTGATACACTTCGTGGGATCTGACCAAACAAAAGCTGAAGCTCTGGTGAGATCCTCCAGACCTTTCTAATACAGACATCATCACAAGTTATTAACTCACAGAGCTGACTGAATTGCTCCCAATGATCCGTTTTTCAGGGCTCACATTAGTACTGACGGAATGAGCTGTAGTTTCTGATGATGAATTGCGCATTTTCTTTAGAAAACTGTTAAAATTTCAAAGCAAGACAGATTACACATTTAATTAAAATTTTATCTTCTGCTTTTCTATGACAGGAAAAATAAACTTATATGTCTGAAGATTATAATTTCACTTTAGCTCTCCAGCGAAGTTCAGCCAGTGCCGGAGGTGATCTCCAGTGAGGACAATAAGGCATTGCTAAGTTTTCTCATCCTCTGATACTGAATACAGATCATGTGCTTATATGCTCCCATAACAAGCTTCCCCTGCTCTCTGATACATGCAAACCACACAGTCTACCTCAAAAAACTTCAGAGCAGCGAGAATAATGACAAGGAATAAGGAGAAGGAAAACGATGTGGAGTAAGAAGAAAGAAATATTCGCTTGCTGAACACACAGGAAGGAGCCACAGAGAGACCCAGGAAGTACAGTAAAGTTCTAGAGCACAACTGTGCCCTGAAAACACCCAGAAGTTCTCTGCTGAGCCTCATTCAAATAAGGAAGATAATGGGAAGATAGAACAACCCCTCGATTACACAGCTCCACCTGTGATCAGATAGGAAGGATATCTCCCTGAGGTACTAGAGGACCATGAGCTCAGATTCTTCGTATGGAAGTCTATGCATGACTGGTGCCTGCATATGGACTAAGACACGGCATGGCAGCTTGCCTACCCCTTTTCCCGCCTTCTGGACCTCTGGTGGAAATGTCCCAAATTTTACAAGCGTTGGTCCTCTATTTAAAACATAAAAAAAGGAAATATGTCAACCATAATTCCTGCATTCGTATTTATTGAGAGCCTATGGTATGCAGTATGAACCACTGTAAACAGAAAGGTCTTCTTACATGCTCCGCCCAGGCCAGAGTACAACCCTCAATGAGTACAAACATACTAACACCCGTTCTATACATCTCTTTCTGCGCCTTCTCATTTCTCTATCCTGCCATTTTATGATAGAAAACCCTTGACTCCTTTCCTCATTGTGAACTCTTCTGATCATTTTGTACAAGGTTTTGTTCGGTTCTTCTTAGTGCTATTCTTGTGTTCTTTAAAAAAAAAATTCTGTGATGCTAGGTAAGCCTTCGGCACATATCAGAATGTTTTCACGGAGCACTTACTGTACTAATGAAGCAGGAAAGATGTTGCAAGTTAGTTAAGAACAAGGCATGGATTCTAGACTCGTTTACTCGAGCACCATGGGCAATTCACAGGACTACACTAAAATCTCATTTTAGAGATGGACAAACAGAAATGGGGACTGGGTACAGATAATGAGTCCAGAATCACGCAACATTTAGGAAGCTGACATTTAATCCAGACATCAAAACTTTATGATTTAGGCTCAAAGAAAAAAAAAGAAAGAGAAAGAAAGCGAATCAGATAACCTGTGGGAATATTTAGTACTTTCAAGAATGTTGTAATCTTCTATAAAATGTGGATCAGTCAAAAGTTTCCGGAGTTGATATATACGTGCTCCAGAGAGAAAACTGGCTGAGAAAATTCCTATTGAAAGAGGAAGTTGATGTTAACTGTGCAGCCAGACACCCAGTTCCCACCGGCGAACTAATTTTCACAGAGTGATCATTCAGTCTGGAGGAAGATTACCATATCTATTTTTCTCCCTATTTTTCTGCTTCCATGTCCATCTTTTTTTTTTACTTTTCCATTTTTAAGGGACAATTTCAATTAAGATTTCTAATTAGATTCCAAGTTTGAGATGCATCTTTAGTAGAGAGCAAATGGCAGGAGTAGTAATTATGAAGGCAGCTGTCTCTTGTCGGAGATGAGACAAGGCTTTTTGTTCCTAAGTTTTAAAATCCTGGGGAATTATTTGTCATTTCCTGCTTCTTTTTTAAATAATAATAATGGAATGATGCTGAATTGATCTAACAAAGCTCCTCTCAGGCATTTATGCAAGAAATTCCGGTAAAAGTCAAATCTTGCACTCTGGATTCTGGACACTTTGACTATTACAAGTAGGAAATCTCCACATTTTGTGCTGGGCACTGGTGGCTCACAATTGTTATCCTAGCTCCTTAGGAGGCTGAGATCTGAGGATTACAGTTTGAAGCCAGTCAACACAGAAAAAACCATGTGCTTCTTTTCTCCAATGAATGAGTAAAAAAGCAGAAGTGGAGGGGTGGTTCAAGTGATGGAGCTCCAGTTTTGAGCAAAAAAAAAAAAAAGTCAAAAAATGGAAAGCCAGGGTTTAAGGCCTAATACCAGCCCTAAAACAAAACCAAAACATAACAAAGCACAAAAGCCCAACTCTACATTTTATACAGGATTAAAACACAAAGCCCTCAACTAGACATTACTCCAAGGCCCTCTGCCTCAATGTAAGGCAGTTTGTATGAGACTAAATTAAGAAAATTGCATAAATCAAGAACAAGCATTTTCAATGGGAAGGAATAAGTCAAATTAGCAGAGATTCAAACAATATTTCTGTGTTTTCCTCTGACTGTTTGACTTAAGCAAACCAGTACTGATAATGATAACATGAAATTTTATTTTCAAGCTCTTACACCAGAGGTTTTTATTGGTACTTCAGGCTATATTTTCATATGCAAAATATAATCAGGACCTGAAGCAATAAACCATATAATTCTGGCAAAAAAAACCCAATAATCTGCTAAACCACTGAGACAAACAATTCCTAACCCTGTCTTGAATTTTCTAGCTTGTTGGAATTATCTAAAATAGTTCAGTGGGCAAAGAAATCAAATTGATTATGCTATCTGAAAGCAGGCCAGTCTTGTGAGTAGAAGAAATCTTTTAAAAATCCATGTCAACAAGAGGAAATCTTTGAAACTATTCACAATATAATGCTGAAAACAGCTTTAATAAATGCTAAGTTAAAGGCACACAAACACACACACACATGCACACACATATACCCATACCTTTGTTTTGTTATTTTGCATTTAATCTCCTGAGAAAGTCTCCTAAAATTTTCAAATTTACTTGAACTGAACCCAATGTAGGCAGAAAACCAAGGAAGAAACACCTTGAGAATTCTGCAGAGAAATTACCCATTCAGTGGGTAGGGCTAGGAGAGGTGGTAAGATTTGAAACTATTTTCAGGGGGAAAGAGAGACGGTGTGACATCATCCAGAACTACCAACGGTGAAAAGCCATCAGTGAGGGCTGGCTCTAGCTGCCCTGTAGTGGACATTGAGACCTGTGGTACCAAGCCAGTTCTCATTTTCATCATCTCTGTCTCCCTGCCCATCTCTGTGGCTGGGCTTCAACACGCTAGCCCTGTTCCAAGTCTTTCTTCTTTGATTATTTTGTTCAATTATTTATGTACCATTGTACAATCTTCCTGGGAGTCTTTATTCTCCCATGTTAGGTCTTGGTTTGAAAGTCATCTTGCAGAGAAACTTCTACCCACAGGAGATTCTTTTCTTCTCTCCCATTCATTCTATCATCTCACAGAGTTCTGTCATTTTCACTAATAGCATTCATCACAATTGTCACATGCGAATTGGGATTTATGAAATAGCTCCTCCATTGGACTTCAGATACCATGACGGCAGGAATCAACCTGTTTAATTCTGTTATTTGAAATCATTTTGTGGATGAGAGTTTTCCATGTAGTAGGTTTTTAGTGAATAGTAACACTTTGCTAATTCCTTCACGTTTCTGCACAGACCTGACACAGATCATAAATTAGTTTAATGTATACACAGAAAATAATTTCTCTTTAGGATACAGACAATTACATTACCTATTAGCATACAGTCAGGCCTAGTCTAAGACATCAAACTGACATTTATATAAACTGTTAACAGAACAAGTTATACATTTGAATTGGTCACTACTTGAAACAGATGTCGTGTGCCAGTTGCTAAGAATGACCCTTGTACCTGATGACTGTATTCTTCAATCGGTCTGCTCTTTGCTGATTGTTTTGCTGGTTTCAGGACTCTGAAAAAAGACAAAAGAACAAAATGTTAGTAGTTGGTGTTCCACAGAAAATTTTTCTATGTAATCTGCTTTGAATGCTCATCAGCGCAAACTTAGGAAGTTACAAAAGATCCATAGAACACTGCTATTCCTCATTTCTATTCCCAATTAGTCTGTTTCATCTGTTCATAGAACTCCACTGGCACAATAATAGGTGAGTCTTATTTCCTGCTCGAGTGTGACAGGCCCAATTCTATGCCAGGTGCTGTTCTAAGTCAGATAGATTCATTTATTCCTCCTAACTGTGGGCCGGGAAGGGTTTACCCCAGCAAGTCTGCATTATTCAAGCCCTACACATTCCAAAGAAATGTTCATTGGCAGGATGAGCCTTTGGTTGGTTTCTGGATGATAAACTCTGAGTTCCTGCAACAGGAGGAGATTTGTACTCAGGAGCCCTTGGCCTACAGGGTTTTCATCTGAACAGATGAGTTGATATTCTAAGAGGTGATTCGCGTGAGCAATGGTCTTTGCTTGAGGATGAGGGGCCCTGGATACTGGAAGCTGAGGTCCCTCCTCCGCAGGGCTCACCCACCTTCGACTTCTGGAGCTTTGCCAAGCTTCCTTGCTTACTTACTAAACGGGTTTGGGTCAAAGGCTCTAATCCACTGGAGGAACACGGGGAGTGTGCTCCCCTGGACCTCGCTTCCTGAGCCCCTCGCCTGTCACTGATCTTAACCCATATCTTTTCCCTGTAATGAAAGCCTGGTTTTCATCACTCAGATTTTCTGAGGCTCTAGATAATTCCAGCAAATCACGGAGCCTGAGCATGATCTTGGGGACCTGTGACTCAATGAGGTGTGTGCTATCATTATGTACATTGTGTAGGCTGGGAATCTGGCAGGGAGCCCACAGCTCGTTTCTGTGTCAGCATTTGAATTTGAGTAGAAGGAGCAGGCCCAGAGATACTTTTTCTCCATGCAGTGTCTTTTTAAAGTCAAAATATTTGTTGCATGCCATTTGTTAAGTATATTTTAGTATGCCACCTGGTCTTTTCCTTATTTTTATTGGCAAGAATGATAACTTTCAAATTGTACATTTATCTTCAATTGCAAAGATTTCGTCATAGCTGCCAAAACAAGTATAGAGTGTTAATCTTATCCTTGAACCACTGTACTTTTTTCAAAGCAGACTTTCCCCCAGCCACATTAATAATAGAGACATGACCAGTTTCCCAGCAAAGTTACACATGAGCTCGGCGGAACTGTTACTCAGGCAGACATTCCAGAAGCTGCCTGGAGTCATAGGCCTGGCATCTGAGAAAGCCGCGTTGTTCCAGCCCCAGAACAAAACCACGATTTGTCACTTATCTTTTCCAAACCCACCCGAAGCTTAGCGTGGTGCTGTGTGCCGGTGTTCTGATCTGGCCACCAGAACAGATTGCATATCTACTCTTGAGTTCCGCGATAGGGCTGAGGCTACCTTATAAATCCAGCGTGGATGGACAGAGGTCAACAGAGTCTCACAAAGGCCACAGTGTCCAAACAGCCCTTAAACTAAGCTTTAAAATGTTCACCCCCTCTTACAGTGCCGAATCAATACAGTCAATAGACACAATAGCTCTGCATGTCAAAAAAAACCCACAGGTTTATGATGCAGAGAGACCCACTGTACTATAAGAGGCCCCGCCCTTTCAGAGATATTTGTCACTTGCCAGCTCCCCCCACGTAGCAAGAGCCAAGATTTACCCAAAGCTACTGAATTGTGAGGACCCCTAGATAAACATCCCAGAGAGTTCATACACACAAGAGCCTCATTTAATACTTGTCATTGCCTCTGCATTAAATTATCCAATGAGGTATTTTCATTCATTAGGATGCCAAAGCTTTCTTTTCAAAACAGAACACAACTGCATTTTAAACAACCTCAGGATGTCAGACTAGACAGAACTGATCGTTATTATCTATGATTAGAATTTGCACATGCAACAAAGAAAAGAGAAAAGGGACCTCTTTTGAGATTCTACACGATGTCGTGGGTGGTGGTGCATTCTTTGGTCCCTGTACCTGTTCCCTTTGTCATCCCAAAAGGGGACATCTCATTCATCCACTCCTCTTCTGTAGGCTGCACAGACATGAACAGCTGACAGCCCATGTCACACACTGAGCCGGGGGAAGGCAGGAAGGCAGCCAGCTCCAGGTGTCTTCTGCTGACTCACGGCAATCTCTTTAAGGGGAGGTGGGAATGTGATGCCCAGAGCTGGACTGAGAAGGGTGGAGTTGAGGAGTGCTCAGGGAGAGAGGATGTCCCCCAGGCAAGGACTTGAGCAATACGAAATTCCTCATGGCTTCTGAAAGACCAACACATGTGTTCCCCAAAGGCCCAGCATGTAGATAAAGGCCTGGCCAACTGCTTGCCTGTCATTACTAGCAGCTATTGATTTGTCTCTAAAAGAGATGCAAAAATGCAACAGAATCTCCTTTCTGTTGAGTGATTCTCATCCCTTTAAAGTCAAAGTAACAGTGCTACCAATGCCACAATGTGCAGCCCAGATGGTCTCCAGTGCAATGGGGGGAAAAAAGCTATAAATATTTTTTCTATTAGAATTAATGAAATAATTCAAGCAAAGTCCCAGGATGCAGGGTAAATTTGTAACAATAATTTCTCTGTACAATAACAATAAAAAGAAGGTTTTTTTTTTAAAGGCAAATGAATATGAATCCCAGGAGCAGCAATAATAACCTGAATCACAACTGCAGTTATAACAAAATCAATAAAATACTTGTGACTAAATCTGTAAAGAAAACTATAAAAAGCTGTAAAGAGAAATAAAGATATATAGATATATAGATAGATAGAAAGATATACATAGTATAGATATATAATGCATGAGTGAGAACATATTTACAATAAAAATATCAATTCTTCCCCAAATTAATTTATTAACTTATTTCAAGTAAAAATTCTAATGAGAGTAATTCTAGAGTCTATTAAAATTTCCTGAAGTTCCTTTGAAGAATGAGCTGTGGGTCATAAAGAACATTCTGAGTCTGAATACTAATAAAAAGTTTTGCTCTAATGGTAAAATATATTATTGTGACACAACATTTAACACAGTGCCAAAATGGTTTTGAAATTGATGCATAAATTAATGTAAAAATGGTTATTCCAGCAATATCACTTTTTATGCATTCCTTCACTCAACAAATATGTAATACCTGTCATGTGCCAAGTGCAGGTTATTTAAAGGACAACATGATTTCTGCCCCTCCTGTTAAGTTTGCTGGGAAAACTTAACAGCTATTTTCATTATGCTTGAATTGAAACAAATGCACACAGGACTCCATAAAAGCTTAGAAAATTCAATGTCTAATAAAATCAAAACAAAAATTGAATGAAACAGAAAAAATTGTTTAAGCATCATTAGATAATGGCCTAGCGTTTGGAAATAAAATCAAGCATTCCTATTTGACATAAATAGAAACTCGAGATGCATTATGGAAGCCAACGCAAATAAAATACAACATAAAAATGAAGGTAAATCAAATTCATTATTCATGTACTTTTTGGAAATGTCAAGTGTTCATCTGACATATACTTTTACAAAGACAATATCTAGTAGTTTGAATTATGTTGGAAAGAAACTTCCACAGATTAAAATAAAAGTAAATTATATTACTGGCGACAAAGACAATACACTAAAACCTATTTTATACAAATACAAAGTGAGAAATAGCAAAAGGATGTGTCACAAGAAAGATCCAACTCATTAATGAACATAGGTAAAAATGTTCAACCTCATTAGTACTTCAGGAAATACCATTAAAACAACAATCAAAAGCCATTTAATCTGACACGCTGACAAGGAAGAAACAAAGCATGCAGTCAAGGCTATTTTGAGATGATGAATGTCATTTTCCCACCTTCCTTCTCCCCCACCAGCGTCCCTCCCACACTACCCCTGCTGCCCCAGAGTATTTTCCAAGAACTTTAATTTTTTTTTTGGAGGGGGGGTCCAGTTGTGGGGCCTGAACTCTGGGCCTGGGCGCTGTCCCTCAGCTCTTCAGCTCAAGGCGAGCGCTCTACCACTTGAGCCACAGCACCACTTCCGGCTTTTTTCTTCTTGCTTATGTGGTGCTGAGGAATGGAACCCAGGGCCTCATGCATGCAAGGCAAGCGCTCTACCACTGAGCCACCTTCCCAGCCCAAGAACTTCAAAATGTTACTTGGACCATGTAGCAACTAGGAAGCACTTCTAGTGCATTTAGTTAGTGAAAGAGGTTCAATCATTCCAGGCACACCCTGTGTGACCAACCTCTTAAACATGGCCTCTCTTGAACAAGTGAGTGCTACACACTCAAGTTCACTTACAGTACAATGGGCAGCATTTGGGAACTTCGGGTGAGCATACTGGATGATAAATAGATAGACTAGTAACTTGCATCCTCATAGTAAAACAAAAGATGTATGGCACTACCTTCTCAGAAAATATGTGTCCATGATCTAGCAATCTAAGTTTCTGTTCTAGAAAATAAATCCAAAATGTAGAGGGGTGGGGGAATATACACAGAGAATTTCTGCAATGTGACTTAAGTAGGAAAAATAGAACTATCCTAAATGTTCAACAATAGAGAAATCTTTGAATAAATAGTGTTACATTACCTTAGTAGACTATTATGTCACCAATATATATTCATGAAGAGTTTAAAAATTCACATTGTAAAAAGTCTTACAGCACAATGTGAAATGCACAGATCACACTTAAAGCTTTTTCTCTTCTCTACAACCACAGTGCAGAGGAGAAGGAAAGAGTGTAAAACGTCATCCCCACACTTAGCCCCTTTGAGCAGGAGTTCGTTTTATGAAATAAGAAAGAACAATATTGCCTGTCTCCAAATGCTGTTATTTTAAGTTAATAATCAGGATTAGAAAATTCAAACAGTGTTAACAGAACCTATTGTACATTAAGTATTCAGTCATTGAGCTATGGCATTATATCTTGGCTATTAAATCTATGCACACTG